GGGGGGGGGGGGGGCAAGTGCCCCACCTTGCCCCTACCTGCGGGCGCCCTTGCTCTATGGTTATAAATACTATAATGGATAAAATTGCTATAATGGCTGCCATTGCTATAGTTTCTGTATGGCTAAAATTGCTATTAGTGCTTTATTGATATAATTTTTATAATTGCTGTCATTGCTATAATTGCTAGCCACAGCTATAGTTTAGAATTTTTCTTCTGTTCAAAGGAGAAAGGTCAACACGTCCATAAGAATATTATCCCTCACACGACCTGCAAGCAATAATTTATTACCTTGTACCCTATTCCCCTTGGGTCAGACTACAATTTATTTTCATTATCATTATTCATCTTGTTTTATTAGATACCGGAAACATGGAGACATACATGTAGGGGCCGGTAATGCCGTTTATTTCTCTTGTACACTCAGAGTGCCGGAACTTGATTCATCCTTGACACCACTGGGATGATCGTGGCATGATCGTGGGGATGATCGTGCACTTCTCGGAGGTAATAACTTAGTTGTGTAAACGAATGGAGCATGTCATGACCTGCCTATGATGTCATCATTAAACCAATTTGGAGATACTCTCGTGTCAGACATTGTAGACAGCAGTACCGTGCACACCAAATCAATGCTGCATCGGCATCACCGCGTCGGGAGAATCGTTCATCTGAGCCACCCATGGTCTCACCCAGTCCCTGAGCCACCCATGGTCTCACCCAGTCCCTGAGCCACCCATCGTCTCACCCAGTCCCTGAGCCACCCATCGTCTCACCCAGTCCCTGAGCCACCCATGGTCTCACCCAGTCCCTGAGCCACCCATGGTCTCACCCAGTCCCTGAGCCACCCATGTTCTCACCCAGTCCCTAAGCCACCCATATTCTCACCCAGTCCCTAACCCACCCATCGCCTCACCCNCCTGAGCCACCCATGGTCTCACCCAGTCCCTGAGCCACCCATGGTCTCACCCAGTCCCTGAGCCACCCATGGTCTCACCCAGTCCCTGAGCCACCCATGGTCTCACCCAGTCCCTGAGCCACCCATGGTCTCACCCAGTCCCTGAGCCACCCATGGTCTCACCCAGTCCCTGAGCCACCCATGGTCTCACCCAGTCCCTGAGCCACCCATGGTCTCACCCAGTCCCTGAGCCACCCATGGTCTCACCCAGTCCCTGAGCCACCCATGGTCTCACCCAGTCCCTGAGCCACCCATGGTCTCACCCAGTCCCGCAATAATATTCATCTTCCACAAAATACAAATAAGATACAATTGCATTGACTTCCAAAGACAAAAAATATCATGTTATCCTCTCAAGCTTCTCTCATCCCATGCTCCTCTTCTCTCCCCTCACGCTCATCTGCCTTAATGCTTCTCTCCTCTCATGATCAGCTTCACTCTTGCTCTCCCCTCCCCAAATTCTCCTCCCCCTCATGCTTCTCTACCCTCATTTTCCCCTTATTCTCCTTTCCTTCATGCTTCTCTACCCTCATTTTCGTCCCCCCTTTATTCTCCTCTCCTTCATGCTTCTCTCCCCTCATGTTCATCTCCCCCTAATTCTCCTCTCCCTCATGCTTTTCTCCCCTCATTTTCGTCTCCCCCTAATTCTCCTCTCCCTCATGCTTTTCTCCCCTCATTTTCGTCTCCCCCTAATTCTCCTCTCCCTCATGCTTCTCTCCCCTCATTTTCGTCTCCCCCTAATTCTCCTCTCCCTCATGCTTCTCTCCCCTCATTTTCGTCTCCCCCTAATTCTCCTCTCCCTCATGCTTCTCTCCCCTCATTTTCGTCTCCCCCAATGCTCCTCTCCCTCATGTTTTCCTCCCTCGTGCTGCATATACATATATCAGAACTATGAGTTTAATAAATAAACAAAGAAATACTACGTGGAAATACTCCTTACAAGTGTTTATTGAAGGTTACAATCTTTCACCATAAAGAATCTATACACGAACACGTAAAAATATCACAATTATTGTAGAGTTCAGGTATTAAATGAGTAAGATTTTATAAAGAACAGTTGAGGTAAATAACAACTACGAGTTTATAAAGTATGCTAACATTTTAATAATCAAAGTTTGTATAATTATAATTGTTTGTACAATGAGATTAAAAGCTGGTCTGAACATCAAAGTTTACATACAAAATAGGTTAGTTATTAAAAAAAGAGATTTAATGTGTAAATAACAGTATAAAATATTTGAAAAGTCAAACCACCATTGTCAGTTAAGGGCAAACCCTCAACAATTAATTTTGCAAAGACAAAATGAATTACAGCTTTAAAATTTCAAAACAGTTTAATTAAGAAATAAGTATTTGCCTTTAGGCATCATCAGGAGATGATACAGTAGCTGATACTAGACTGGCTTACTAAGCTGACCCTAGGCTGGCTTACTAAGCTGACCCTAGACTGGCTTACTAAGTTGAAACTATACCGGCTTACTAACTTGATCCTGGATTGGCTTACTAAGCTGATCCTAAACAGGCTTACTAAGTTGATACTAGACCAGCTTACTAACTTGATCCTGGACTGGCCTATTAAGTTGTTCCTAGATTGGAATTCTCTGCTCTTTATTCTGCAAAGGAATCTTGACTTTTGTTCTTTCATCTAATTTTGCTGCTAAACATTTCTTATTTCAACGTCATCAGATAAAAATTACAACAACGTAAAATGTATGTACAAAGTTTTATCAACAAAGATGTATTATAAAAAGTGGCTTGGCCAAATACTTAAATATAGAGAATAGCAATAGAATAATTTTTTTAAAGTCTGGTAGATTGGTAGAAAGTGGTAGAACTACTCATAGCTATAAAGTCTGTTAGATTGGTAGAAGGTGGTAGAACCACTCATAGCTATAAAGTCTGTTAGTTTAGTAGAAGGTGGTAGAACTACGCATAGCTATAAAGTCTGTTAGATTGGTAGAAGGTGGTAGAACTATTCATTGCTATAAAGTCTGTTAGATTGGTAGAAGGTGGTAGAACTATTCATTGCTATAAAGTCTGTTAGATTGGTAGAAGGTGGTAGAACTACTCATAGCTATAAAGTCTGTTAGATTGGTAGAAGGTGGTAGAACTACTCATAGCTATAAAGTCTGTTAGATTGGTAGAAGGTGGTAGAAGGTGGTAGAACTACTCATAGCTATAAAGTCTGTTAGATTGGTAGAAGGTGGTAGAACTACTTATTGCAAACAGAGGATCCAATGGATTAAATGCTGCTATATGATTGAGGTTCATTATGATGGATGTGGACATTGGCTAAACCCTTTTCTACAACCAGATTTGTAACTCTGTCTGGCCGTCCGGCCTGTATGGCGAGGAGTTTGGTCACATCGACATTTAGCTCAGAGAGTCGGCTCAGGTGCTCTAATTCCAGCTGCTCACCGAGTACCTTGGACTGATTGAGAAGAAAGTAATATAAAAAGCTTTAATCTTTAAGCCAACGGTGTAGTGTCTTCAAGTGATGATGATTTTAATTTTTTATTTAATTTTTTAATTTAGAGCAGTGGTTCTCAAAATGAGCGTCAATGATATCCAGGGGTGCTGAAAGGCTTGGGAAAATTAAGGAGGCGATGGGGTTATCAAAGTGGGCGGTGGGCATTACAGTGGAAAAGCTTTTTTTAATTAAAACTATATACCAGGAATTTCAAAGTAATTTTAGGCCCTGATTAATGTTGCCAAAGAAGAGTCGATGAAAGAGAAATTTTTTGACACATGAAGAATAGTAAAGAATGTATGATATATTTTTCAACCAGATGTACCAGCGTTGATTAACAAAACATTGACTGTACTTTAGCACTGTGAGTTGAAAACACTGAATGGACTTCACAAATGAAGCAGATTAATTTTTTTTTTAAACAGATGGCTTGTGCTTGCATCCAGTGGTGGACTGGGGTGTCCGAGCGGTCAAGAAGAAATCAAAAGCGTCCCTATCCGCCATTTAATTTCCTTGGGGCGGCTAAGGCAGGAGTCGGGAAACTTTTCATCAGCTGTTAGCCCAAAATATAGATCACCGAGTTACTAACATACAAAAAATTATAATGAAAGCTTTAGCGCAAACCAACACTATTATCATTAGCTAATTACCTTCTAAACACAAGTCTGAGAATACTGAGATTATTGGTAGGCCCAATAGCATAGACACAAGGCTGAGGATATTGAGATTATTGGTAGGCCCAATAGCATAGACACAAGGCTGAGAATATTGAGATTATTGGTAGGCCCAATAGCATAGATACAAGGCTGAGAATATTGAGATTATTGGTAGGCCCAATAGCATAGACACAAGGCTGAGAATATTGAGATTATTGGTAGGCCCAATAGCATAGACACAAGGCTGAGAATATTGAGATTATTGGTAGGCCCAATAGCATAGACACAAGTCTGAGAATACTGAGATTATTGGTAGGCCCAATAGCATAGACACAAGGCTGAGAATATTGAGATTATTGGTAGGCCCAATAGCATAGACACAAGTCTGAGATTACTGAGATTATTGGTAGGCCCAATAGCATAGACACAAGTCTGAGAATACTGAGATTATTGGTAGGCCCAATAGCATAGACACAAGTCTGAGAATACTGAGATTATTGGTAGGCCCAATAGCATAGACACAAGTCTGCTTACATATTATGTATTTTTTTATCAAGACGTTTAATTTACATTTTGTACTTGATGGATGGCTTGAACCATTCATTGTCTATCATTAGAAAGGAAGAAAAATCATTGCAAAATATTTCTTTATTACTCTTTGTTTCATTAATGGCCAACACCTGGTAGCTAAAAATGTCAATGCCCTTAATTTACAGCAGTCAATCGGCTTTAAGAACACCCTCAAAGTGCTGGTGCACTGTGTGTTGAAAGCGATGCAGTATGAATTGTTGCTTTCTATTGATGTTCTTTGAAACCAATGCTTCACATGATGCTGACTGCAAAGACATCACACACCATATTGCGTGTCATAAATTTGTTGTTGTCATGGAATGAGACCTAGCTTATTAATATCAAAATGTGTTCAATACATCGTAAAATTTTTTTTAACTCTGTTATATTTATGAATTTACTAATTTAAAGCTAGAGAGAGTTAGAAGAGAAAGGTTATTTACAAAATGATTATCTAGTAGAGCGATTCGAGAATTTTCATTTGATGTAAGTCACAGGTTGGTTAAAACCCCATCTTTATGATTGATGCTGCTATCGTGGTAGTTGTCCCAATCTTTATGATAAATGCTGCTGTTGTGGTAGTTGTCCCCCCATCTTTATGATTAATGCAGCTGTTGTGGTAGTTGTTCCCACATCTTTATGATTAATGCAGCTGTTGTGGTAGTTGTTCCCACATCTTTATGATTAATGCAGCTGTTGTGGTAGTTGTCCCCCATCTTTATGATTAATGCAGCTGTTGTGGTAGTTGTCCCCCATCTTTATGATTAATGCTGCTGTTGTGGTAGTTGTTCCCCCATCTTTATGATTAATGCAGCTGTTGTGGTAGTTGTCCCCCATCTTTATGATTAATGCAGCCGTTGTGGTAGTTGTCCCCCCATCTTTATGATTAATGCTGCTGTTGTGGTAGTTGTTCCCACATCTTTATGATTAATGCAGCTGTTGTGGTAGTTGTCCCCCATCTTTATGATTAATGCTGCTGTTGTGGTAGTTGTTCCCCCATCTTTATGATTAATGCAGCTGTTGTGGTAGTTGTCCCCCATCTTTATGATTAATGCTGCTGTTGTGGTAGTTGTCCCCCATCTTTATGATTAATGCAGCTGTTGTGGTAGTTGTCCCCCATCTTTATGATTAATGCTGCTGTTGTGGTAGTTGTCCCCCATCTTTATGATTAATGCTGCTGTTGTGGTAGTTGTCCCCCATCTTTATGATTAATGTTGCTGTTGTGGTAGTGGTAGTTTTCCCCCATCTTCATGATTAATGCTTCTGTTGTGGTAGTTGTCCCCCATCTTTATGATTAATGCAGCTGTTGTAGTGGTAGTTGTCCCCCATCTTTATGATTAATGCTTCTGTTGTGGTAGTTGTCCCCCATCTTTATGATTAATGCTTATGTTGTGGTAGTTGTCCCCCATCTTTATGATTAATGCAGCCGTTGTGGTAGTTGTCCCCCCATCTTTATGATTAATGCTTATGTTGTGGTAGTTGTCCCCCATCTTTATGATTAATGCAGCTGTTATGGTAGTGGTAGTTGTCCCCCATCTTTATGATTAATGCAACCGTTGTGGTAGTTGTCCCCCCCATCTTTATGATTAATGCAACCGTTGTTGTAGTTGTCTCAGGGTTCATTCAGCAAAACTGATTTTAATCCAAATTTTAAAGGCTGCTAAAAAATGTTTAGTCTCCAGCATGATATTTACTTTCTTATTATCCACAATGGAATGGTTCTTGTTGTGCAGTTACCTTTGCATTTGGTGGAAGGGCATTTGAGTGAGATTTAGCCGCTTTGAACCTAATTCTCTTTGGATAAATAACTATCTTACTTGTTACATTTTCAGCTGATAAATGATATAATAAAATATTGATGAGGCAAGTTATATTTTGATTAATTGTTCAAATATTTGTTACAATGTTACACATCTTTGTGTGATTATCTACCAGAGAGAGTTGTGAAATGCTTATTTTTGAAATGCTTATTATTGGGTTTGTTAGGTCGAATTTGTGGGCCCAAGAGGCGGTGGCCGCAAAGGTTTGAGAACAACTGGTTAAGAGCAATGAATTACTTACATTAAGTTGAGCCATATTTTCTTGTTTTAGTTTTTCCAACATCTTTTCATGGCTCTCCCTCTCTAAGTTCAGCCTGTGCTCAAGGGAAGTCCTGGACATTTGTATATAAACATAAAACTATTTAAGATCATTCATAGCTTGTTATATCAATATTTTATTATCAATATAACAACTGAATTCACTTATGAAACACTATAAGAAATCAAATTTTTAAAAGTTAATTCTAGAAACTCGAGTTTTATTTTCTGATTTATCAACCTCAATTAATAATTCATTTTCAAACAAAACAACTTTTTAAAAGTTATCGTTGTTGTACAGTATCAATATTTCCCTATAATTTAATGAATGACATTGTGTTGATTCTTGCTTATAAACAAAGTGTATTATCTCAGTATTTCGATCAGGAAAACACAATTTTAAAAAGAAAACATTCAATAACCACTTCAAGAATTTAATTCCTGCAACAACAAGAGCTGTGCTTAGCACAATTATTTAACATTGGCTCTTAACTAACTTTTCCATCTTGTGTGAATGAAGTAAATTCTCCATTTCCATCTGTTGTTCTGTGCAATGAAAGAGAAAGAAAATCACTTATAATATAAGTAACTATTAGTTGAAAGAGTTTAGTTATTAAACTATTACTTGTTATTTTAGTTACTCAGTATTTTAAAGCCATGTACTGACACGACCCATAACCTAGTGTTTAAAAGACATGTATTGAAACCACTTTGCGTTAAGGTGACACTACTGAGTTAAGTTAACGCTATCCCCTTAGGGTGACACTATCACCTTGCTCAAGCCTGTCAATGTCTGCCTGGAGTTTTCTATCTATCAGAGATTGTTCTTGCTTTTCTCTCTCAAACTGTGAAGCAATAAAATAACTGTCTCTAGTCAACCAAAATTACTATACTGTGTTTCAAACAAAAAGTTTAAATCTACATAGATTCCTACTTTGGCTATGATGCAATAAACCATTTAGGGTGGAAGGATTCAGTTTTCAGGATTTAGCGCCTTAGAAATATGGAAAAGTTTTGTGTCAAATTTATTTGTAAGCCAAATACATGTATAATTTTTTTAGAAATTAATTTTGATATTTTATTTAAAATATGGGGCTAAAATTACTTTGAGTAAAGACAATGTGAAGCTAACATTGTTGTGCATACAGGTAAAATTGCACAGCATTATAAACATGGGTGAACTTACCTGTAACCTCAGCTCTGTTCTCCGTTGGATCATAATGTCATGCATCTTTTGAAGCTTGTCATGAGCAAAGTAGCCTCGAAATACAACTTTAGACACAGAATAACCAATTGTTGGACATCGATTCATCAACAGAGGGTAGTTGTTCAGGTCATTGAGCTCACTGGCAGTTTCAATAAATTCTTCATAGCTAGGTGTAAAACAACAGAGAGTTTAATGGATTAGAACTCTATTTCTAGGAATACATCCCTAATAAGGGGAGACAACTTTCAATGAAGCCTACAAACAGAATATTCCATTATGATAAAGTTGTCAAATGTGTAAAATTCGAACAAAATTCTGATGTAAACCAACGTCTGCAGGAACTCTGTACTCTGAGGTAGAAAGAGTTCATTTAATTATATTTTTATTGACCATTAATTAACTTATACAGAAAATTAATTTCTCTGTGCTTACCTTTTCTTAGCAGTAAACGCCACGACATCAGCACAAACACAACTGAAACAACAAACATGACATCAGCACAAACACAACAGAAATAGATACAAAATGTTGGCCATTTTTTCAGAGACTCTTTTTAAAGTCATTTAATTCTAATGTGGCATGAAGAAACATTGTAAAAGACAAAATATGTGAGAATGTTGAAAGTCTTTGTTTTTTAAGTTGTTAATAAAAGAGTTACTTTTTTAAAAAATACCAATAATTTACAGATTAAAAATTCCTGCATTGACTTACTTGATTAAATCTGCCATTGGATCTTTACTTGAATTGAGCTATGGCAAAGAAGATGGAATTTAGACAATACAAACAGCTTGACAAGTTTTACTTTCACTTCATTGACAAATAATGCCTTTTTTAACTGAAAATTTCTTGGGCTACAAGCCTTTTAAAAACAAAACAATGTCTTTCTTAATTGTAGATTTCTTGGGCAAAAAGACCTTTTATAACAAATAATGTTAAGTCCATCTAACTTTTATTGAAATACTATTATATTTATAAAAGTCAAATTCATTTTATAAACGAATAAAGAGGTCATATTAAATGTTATGTAAACTTGTCTTCCTTGATAGAACATACCCAGCCACCCCCCACACCCAGCCCTTAATCTATTTTATTAATTTCAAGGTGTCTCAGATCTACATTGTGCAGAATTATTTCTCACCATTTTCTCAATGTTGGTGAGTTCATAGAAGAGCATCAGTTTTATTCTCAAAAGTGCATCATCTGATGTTCTTACCTCATCAACCTGGACAAATACAGACATTTACTTTAATAAAGTGGGTCACCCGCTTTAATACAATCTTAAAATTACAATTTTAAATTACTGCTTTGTTTACAATATATAAAGAACATTATTTTATCTCCTCCTTTAAGATTTTCAGGAAAAAATTAATTTGAATAAAAATCGCATTTTTGGTTCAAATAATTTGGATATAAATAAATAGCATTGCCTTAATAATTTTTTTAAAGTTTGATTAACATTTTGTCTTCCATTTTTTCAATTGGTTTATTGCAATTTCTTCCCTATCACACAAAAATTCCTTAAGGCTAGGCATATATGTCAGTGTAGGTATTTTCAATGAGTCATAGTTATACTATTGAACTTTGTTAATGAGTAAACTATGGAGGCTCTAAAATAAAAAATTGCAATAAAATTTATGAAAAAAAGATAGGAAGCCAAAATTAACATAATCTTCTGTGAAAAACTTTCTTTTATCCTGTATGAAGAATGACTGCCTCAATCTCAGTTATGTTTTTAACAATCAAAAATATTTTTGTCTTACATTATAGTAAAACTGACCAGGTATTATACTTGTCTCACAATATAATAAAACTGATCAGGTATTATTTTGTCTTACATTATAGTAAAATTGGTCAGATATTATTTTTTCTTATAATATATTAAATCTGGCCATGTATTATTTTTGTCTTACAATATAGTAAACCTGGTCAGGTATTATTTTTGTCATCTGATCAGATATTATTTAGATATTTTGTCTCACATAATATTATAGCTGGTCAGGTATTATTTTTGTCTTACATTATAGTAAAACTGATCAGATATTATTTTGTCTTACATTATAGTAAAACTGGTCAGGTATTATTTTAAGGACTGAGAACTTGTTTTGGTCTTGAATCATTCTTGTTTTATTTTCAGGATCTGTACCATGCCAGCTAAACTCATGTAACCTGAAAAAAGTTTTTTCTAATAAGATATAAAAAAAACTTTAACTTTAAAACCATTTAAAGTTGTCAATAAATTTTAATTAAAGAATCATGAATACTACAAATAATGTAAGCAAAAATGAATCAATATTTATTTTTTAAGTATTGATACTATAACTTAAAGTTTAGAGTCTAATCCTCATTTAGTTTTAAATGTAGCCTACATTAAACGTACCCCACCGTACCAGCTTAAAAACATCTGAAATTTGGCAATGTTCAATGAACCACAATTTGATTTCAATATATTTTTAAAATAATGATTTTGTTTGATTTCAATTCAAATTGAATTCAAATTCAATAAATAAGATGGGCAGGAATTATTCAATCTCAATTAAAGAATTATCTACCATTCATTTTCTTCCAGAAGAAACAAGGTTGGACCATACTGTATTCTTCGTCTGACATTTTTGGTTTCATTATTTTGACTGTAAACAATCAGAGCCTCATTAGCATCTAGTGATAGCAGGCTTTTTACGCTGATGTTCATATGAATAATATCATTTTGATGGATTATGCACGGCCTGGATATCAAAAAGAAAATAATATGGTATGCTCAATGCTCATACTCTCTAACCAGGTGTTCTATTTCAATAGAATATGAATGATTTCAGAAGAAATTTGTTTGTGGTTACATCAGTTAACATTGAAAATACTTAATTTTCTCATTAAAACGGTTAATTATAATATAACAAAGGAGGACATTTTACATTATTTTCATTTAGTGAACAAAAAATACAGCAATATTTTTAGTTTTTAAAAAATATTTAGTTTTTTAAAGATATTTCTTATTATGAAAAAAGCAATTTATTTTAATAAGAGCACCTTATGACACAATTAAATAATTACTTTTATTACCCTTTGACATGTTCTGTGCGTCCATCTTTGTAGTTGATTTTGAGGAATTCTTTTTGGCTTGCTGAGAAGCATGTCATCTTTTTGAATTTCTCTCTAAACAGGAATAACTGAAGGAAAACATTAAAAAATACAACTCAAGGATTTGTTGATTTATTTAAAACATGTTTATTTATTGCTAAAGACATTCTATTCTAATTTGTACAGAGACATAAAGTTAGATTGTCAAAAAATTATTTACTCCACCATTAGTGACTTATGATAGTGCTTTATTTTTTTCTTCTGATCCTTAAACTTTGCAATTGTTTGCTTAAGTACACACATAAATGATTATGCATAAATATTTTATGAAAATATTTTATTAAAATATTTACCCTTTGCGGTCCTTCCTCAATTCTTGCTCGGCCATCTTTACTGTAAATGAGCGCCTTTATAAAGATATTAATTTACTTTTAATTCGGCTTTTGAAAATAAATTCTTAACTTTAATTTACTGTATTTGCCAGTTTATAGGGTGCACTTTTTTCCCCTCAAAATATGGGGTGTGTGTTATGTGAATGTTAAATTTCTTTTTTCCTTTAAAATTTGCTTAAAAAGGGGATGCATATGAAAGTTTGCCGCCTCCTATACGCTGGCAAATAGAGTAATTTAATTTAATGTCATAAAATGATTTTTAATAAAACTTGCGCCAAATCAAATTGTTGAAACTGAAAATGTTTTCTCTACTGTGTTAAATATTTACCTTCTCGCCAACATCTAGTGTCTTCCAGCCAACAGTCATGCCAGTTAATAACTTAGATTTCAATTTGAATAAAACAAAACAACTAGTCATATGAAGTGAAGAAAATTAGACAAGTGCTAAACAATATGATTACTAATGATGCAACTTAAAATCCAGAATTATTTGTTATTTAAATTAAACTCTCAATAGTAGCCCCAAAAATTAATGTTCAATCTTATTATCACTATATCACATAGCATAAAACATGTAACATGTAAATGTAATCAAACAATTAAATCTGTAAAATTTGAATTAGATTTTATTTTTTGATGGAAGTATTTGGGGTGGTGACTTCATTATAATTTTTTTAAACACTGCAAAATTAACATTAAAATATTTTAAATTAAAATAAAAAGGTACATCAGCAACCATGTCTACTATGTTTGTTATTTTAACTTAATTAGTAAAAAGATTCATTCTTTCAAATTATTGTTATAGTTTTATCTGTCAAAATTATGAACATAGACTTTAACATTTTTATTGTAATGCCTGTAGCTGTTGATGTAGTGTGAGGACTGAAGTGTGTAGCCTACTGTATAATACCATTGTATAGACCAGGGGTGGACAACCTATTGGTAGCCAGATTCATAATATATTTATATCATTGATTTTTTGACTATGAATACTATGATTGATCTATGATTCTATTTCAGTATGATTGAGATGTCTGTGTAAATATCCTATTAATTTAGTTTTAAGTTTCTAAGTAGCAACTGTACATTGAAACAAGGAAAAAGTGTGTGTGACTAAACATCAAACACTGTTAATATGTGTTAACATTAAAATGAGAACGCTTACGCTTATAACTTAAGTGAGTTCTGAGTAGTCAAAAGAATATTCTATTCTACAGACATAGTCTAAACTACTGACACTGTGACTGTGTCAGTCATGTGCGATTGGTGAATGATTAATTTAAATTATTCACTCTAAAGGACTCTAATTCGTTCAGTCACTTGTTCTGGTAAAAACTGTTGTACTGTCATCTTCTTGTTTTAGTTGACAATATTTGATATAGAGGATAAAACAAGATCAATGGTAGAATATAATAAACAGAATGTCTTTTTTAAGTATAATCTAACCAATGTCGCTCTATATTTTCGACAGTTTTAACCACTCCATTCAATCAATTTGTAACTTTTCCTTGTTTTTTTTTTAACAGACAAAGTCCGGAGTCGATCCGTTAATTGTTCCTGGATGTCCCCAGATTAAAACCTGGCTTTGGTAGCTGGCAGACCTGGCCGGTTATAGCTATTTAGTTGAGGGCGCCTGATTAAATTAAGACTTGACATTCTTTTCGTCCCTAAAATACTAGTTAAATCATCTTGTTTTCTAGTACACCCACGCACACACTTTATAAGAATTTAAGAAGAACGGAATATCGTCCCAGCTATGGGTTCGTCCCATGTTTGCAAAACTTTGCAAGGACGCATTGGTGGGACCACATATAGATACAAAATATTTTTAACATTCAATCAAACAACAACAAAAAAAATAAATAAATACAAAATTCTAAAATATACATTTACTCATTCAGAACACCCACGAAAAAAACTAAAGAAAATTAACGACACATTTTTTTAGAAATTACCAATTTCTGACTTTTTTTTAAAAGTAAGGAATTGAATCTAGACCAGTTGGTTTAGGTTGCCCGGTACAAAGGTTCTGTCCTCTATGTGGTGCACTGGACAAGTAGGGCTCAGTGAAGTAGTCACAGCCTGAAGCTAAAGAAACTGTAGGGACATAGCAAAAATATTTGGGGGATTGGGGAAGTAAACTGATAAGTGCTATGAGTATTTAATTTAATAATAACTGATATGAATACTTACTGGGTGGGGAGGTATTAAACTAATAACTACTCTGAGTATTTACCAGGGTGGATTAAACTAATAACTACTTTGAGTATTTACCAGGGATGGAAATTTAAAGCTATTCTAAAGAGGCTTTAAAATTTTTAAAAATGTTATTATTAAATATTATATAGTATAGGGCTCGAGTCCAACACTTTAGTGTCACCACATTCATACTACTAGCACCCGGGGGAAAGGTGTACGTTTGCAGCAGCACTGCGTTCGTTTAGAAATGAATACATATTTCCTTGGGGGGGGGGGGGGGGGNGGGGGGGGGGGGGGGGGAGAGGGGGTTGAGGTAATCTTGGAGGAGTTCTCACACACTTTTGCCCAAAGAATTGAGCCTTAGACCAATGCCATAGTATAGCTAACAGTTACTAGAGGCACAGACATTTCATGCAGGCCTAGCCTAATTTACTCATACTAATAAATATAGTAAATTACTAATAATATAATAACAACAATGATAATGAGTAAAAAAAAACACACAAAATAATTAATTAATTTTGTCAAATTTGTGGTTCAAGGATTATATAATAATTAATAATATAAATATTTCTGCTAGGTTTTTTCGTTGTAATTATTTTAATTAGTTTAAATTAGACTATTAAATTTAATACACTACTACGTTCATTACTTATAGCTATACTAAAATTATAAAAGCCAGAATATTGTCGGTATTATTACAACCCTCGCCTACGGCAGCCTGCGCCTACTCAATCAGGGAATCATGAATGCCACGCCCACTAATTTAGGAACACATAATTTCATAATCATAACAATTACAATGAATATTTACAATGTCTAACACTTGCAACTGTTCCATTAACACTATTCATTAAAAAGCATTTCTTAAACAAATAAATTGTTTTAAAAAATTGCGTTAACCTATAGTTTATATCATTTTGGTCGCACCGTAGTCCATGGGACATAAAGAGCTTTATTATTATTTAGTTGTTGCGTTTTTATTTTTTTTTTTTGTCAATTTAATTACGTTTCGGTGTTTAGCTGTATTCAGTCATAGCGACATAACCCTCATCTACTTCCTATTAAAAGATGGTCGACACTAAATAACATCTAAAACATAGGCCTACAGCACACATAACATAATTAAGTAAATCGTTTTCATCTTTGAATAGATAACTTTAACTTTTCATCTTTACTAAAGCAGGATGATTTTTAAAATATGGATCATGACATAAGACACAAGTCAAATGTAAGCTCAGATAGTTTTCTGTTTAATAGGTCCTGTTTAAAGTTTAAACGTTTTGATTTTTGTATTGTAGTTCTGTACTGTTCCACTGTCCTGACTTAAATACTATTTATAAACTATTTTTAACTATCTATTATTTAAAGTATAGTATTTTTTAGTACTAGTACTATACTACTCTTTTTACTCGTTTTTTTAGTAGGCTAAGTTAAGTAAGTACTAGTAACATATTATTAAATTTTAATATTATTAATTAATGAGTCAATGTTTCAATAGTCTATAGTTTCATACAAATATTGTGAAAATAAGATTGGCTTACTTACTTACTTACTGCAGGGGTCTCAAATTCAAATTATCCTAGGGCAGCTGGAGGTAGAGACTGGGCCGCACAAAGTATTCCAAAAAAAAGTGATTACAAATTCTGTACAACTGTTACAATCGGCTCAATCACAATCTTTATTAATAACAAATAAAAAAATCAAGGCTTCACGTTATTCCTCCTACTCTTTGTAAGGCTTGTTGCCAGAGACATGGTAGCACTTCTTCTTACACAGCTGAGCAAGATTTGGCTTGAGTGATGAAGCAACTGAGACCCTCAATATAGCTTTAAGATGCTCATCAGTAAGTTTGGCCCTGAACTTTGACTTGTTAAAGTTCATAGTGGAAAAGAGCTTTTCACATAGATAGATACTCCCATAAAGGCACATGATCTGCTTGAACAACCTGGAAATCTCAAGCAGGGGGGGGGGGGGCATTTCTTTTATAAATAATTCTTTTATAAATTGTCCATGTGTGTCTGTTTTTCCATTCACCTCCCTGAACGTAGACTTGAGTTCAGAATTATCAGAATTACACTGAAGACCAATCTGCCCCATTTGAAGTTCAAAAAAAAAGGGGTGGGGGGGGGGGTGAAGAGGTATCTTCCACATTAAAGGAGAAAGGGTCAGCACAAATTTGTGTTTTGAAGTCTGCAAACATATGATCGAATTCTTCCTGTAGCTTTGCTATGGCATCAGTATACATACTACTGAATGGTGTACCCTAGTCCATAAGTACTCTACATGTTGGGAAATGGCAGAGGTTTCTCTAAGAACCATAACACAAGTTTTGTGCAGAATGCTCTGACATTGTCATAGGTAACACTGACAAGGTGCCCCTGGTCTTGTAACTTCTTGTTGAGTACATTCAGCTCCTGTGTAATGTCAAAAAGAAAAGCCGAGTCAATGAGCCATTTGGGATCACTTAGTACAGGAAAAACCACCCTATCCTTCTCCCATGGAGGCTTTGAAGACTAAAACGTGTTCAAAAATTAGGCAGGGGCAGGCAATATTTATGAATTATTTTATGCAAGAAAGATGCTATTGTAGGAGAATGAATTTTGATTTTTTTATCGTAGAAAAGGCCATTTGAGTAACACTATTTTGAAAGTGACCAAGCTAAAATACTTGGAATTTCCCTCAATCATCGCTCGTACACACTAGTGGCAATTTTAATAGAGATTCTTTGATACTATGTCAGATTGCTGCAATTTACACAATTATGGTTGTGCATTACCCATTTTCTGACTTATTAAACTTTTCTCAAACTGCACTTTGGCCATGTTTGTTTCATAAAATGCTATCAAATAAAAACTTTTCGTTCCCATTTTAAAACAGTTTTTACCATTATAATCAACTTCCAAATCTATACAAACAAACAAAAAATCAGTATTAAAATAGTCCGTGAGATTCAACTGAAACCGTCGCGGAGGGTCACATTATAGATCTGAGAATGGGGAAAATGTACAGGCCGCATTAACACTAAACTTAGCTGTCAAGTATTGGGCTGCAAAATACCGTCTTGCAGGCCACAAATGGCCCACTGGCCGCAAGTTTGAGACCCCTGGTTTACTGCGATCCAGTACTGCTTGACGTAAATATTTTTAATGAGGTCTAGACCTAAAAATTTAGCCGTTATTAGTCTGCCTGACTGAGTTAGCATTTAAGTTTTTAAAAGGAATATAAATAATATAATATAACTTTATAGTGGTTAAATTGCAGTTAGAGGCATTAGTTTTGCCAAGAGTCGTCTCACCCTAAGTTCAGTGACAGTACTTTGTGGCATTCCCAATATTGGACGTAGGGTGATTAGGCGAATGTTTGGACCTGAATGATGTGAATGATAACTGTCCCACTCTTAACTGAACATTATTCCAGTCATAAACTAAATATAACAATCGATACAGTTAATATGAAATATGTTAAAATTAAAATTTCCTTTCATTTTGATTAAGTTAAACTTTGCTGGGTTCAAAAGAAATGTTTAAATAATAGGAACTCATCCTCGTTGACACTGTTGATACCTCAAGATGAACACCCAAAAAAGATGTGTGCAATATTAGAAGTCCTGTCTTTTGATTGTTTTTAAAGAAAATGCCTGTATTTATATGCAATTCATTTATATCATGTCATTGCCACCATATCACTGGACCTATCATAATTTTCCAGGGAGAGGGCACCCCTCCTCTTTCCCAGTGATTTTGTGACAATGACATGATATAAATGAGTTGCATACAAATACAGGGATTTGTTTTTCAACCCTCCCCTCACTTTCAATACCAGAAAAACGTTTATGAAATAAATACAGAGCTAGAATTGAAAAGATTTGATTAGGTAACTATATATAGTAGATGACCTGGGGAACCTCCATGACCTATATACAGTAGAAGACATCGCCGGCCTTACCACTAACTACATTGTAGCCCTATGTTGTTTCAGCACATGTCTTTTTACACTGAGTTATATGTGGTGTCCGTACATGCCTTTTAACACTGTGTTATATGTGCTGTCAATTTTTGTCTTTTAAAATTGAGTTAATCTCAAGCTAGTGGACTCAAAGTTCAATCACCAGATGGGAGTCCCGTAGGGGAATGCTCACTGCGCTCTGGTTTTCTTAAATCTATTTTTTTTTAAAATTCTTAAATGTTTCTTAAATGATTTTTTTATCATTTTCAATGCCCCTCAAAGATTGAGGCAAACTGTTCCGTATTTCATGCCCTAAACAAAATACAGCTCAAGTCAATGCTGCCACTCAAGTCAAAATTGCTTTGGTCATCTTGGCGCGCACAGGACAAACAATAAAACTAGTAGGCTTATTGCCACTGGTCATTAAATTACCCACCTAAGTTTAACCTAAGGAAGGCAAGCTTTCCGATTGCCTGTAAATTTACCGACAATCCATAAAAATGTAACTTAAAATGTCTTGTCTGTAACTGAAGAACTTTAGGGTGCCCGTGAGAAATTTGGACATTGTATAAAAATCCTTTCAAGCGAAGGATAACGGGAATTCACAGAATTTATGATGTGTCTGACACCTTCCTGCTTGCTTTAATCTTTGAGTTGGCGACCCTGAAGGACTCGGCCCCATGAAATAACTACTAATTCACTCTCTTTCTACGCCAACTACCTATGCTGCCAAGAGGTTATCCGTTAGCCTCTATGATTATGTTAAAAAAATTTATTTTAAAATTTATAAATCAATATTTCAAAAAAATAAATTTTAATTTGTTAATTTAGGCCCTAATTTGATTTAGACCTGCTGCCGGTCCTAACAGTGGTTACATTTCAGCTGCCCAGTTTTAAAAAAAACAAAACCTGTTACACCCTAATTTGAAAGAAAATTCTTCCCACTATCCCACCCCTCATTCATTTCATAAAATAATATTGGCTTATATATAGAAATAAATTATGAATACCATGAAAGTATAGAATTTTAACTTGCATAAAATAATCAAAAAGCTGTAAAAACAATAGCGATAAAAATTTAAATTTTCAACTTTTTCCAAATAATTTGACTTACATTTACATGCCAACAGTTTTCATTTGCTGACTACTGTTCTAGAGAAACCTTGCTTCTTTTTTGTGTGTGTTTTGTTTTTTTTATGTGCCGAAATTTTTAAAAAAAAAACCGAATTGGATTCTATTAGCCTACTGAAATATTTTTAAATTAATTTTGTTTCAGATATTTTCATTGAAATCTCACGCTGACACTGGATCATCCAGACGTGTTGATCCCACAGCTTCAGGCATGTATGAAAATAAGCGGAGAAATTTGAATAATTATGATCTCAAGCCACCTCCATATCAAAGTAAACACCCTAATTTGATAGATGACCATGTAGAAAAGCCTGTTCAGGTAATTACTTTTTGTGTGTGATATCTATTAAAATAAATGTCGTGTAAATAAAAATGCTAAAAAAACAAGAAATACTTGCACAATGACAGATAAATCCAAATTTTTTTTATATTTGAACAATAAATAAATTTCTAACTAGATTCTAACGATTCAGCTAATTTTTTTAATATCAGTTAACATTCATTATTGCATTCACTATTATTTTAAATGCAGATAAGTGGTAAAATTAAGGTTAATTATTTAAAACTGGTTTGTAGATTGAATACATATTTCATCTTTAAAATATATAAGAAATCCTTGTAATGAAATGCTTAAATAATGAATGACATTCATTGAAATGATTCAATTTCTTTTATCAGTATGCCGGAGAAATTGATGGAGTTTCCCCACATTTAGATATTACAAACAGAACTGATGTTTTAAAAATCATTGATAAAGGGAAGGTAAAAATTACGTTATACAATTTTTAAAAATATATATTTCCACTCTATGCAAAGTATATTTTAAATACATAATCAAGTAATCAAATGTGAACAAATGTATTCAAATAATCTCTAATGAAATACTGTATTAAAAAAAACATATAACAAATGAATAGCTTTAAAGAAATCTTTTTACTTTATAAATTTGTTTCTTTTTCCAACTGATTTCTAAAGGCTAAAGGAATGGTAATGAAAATTTTAAAACAAGAAGAAATGTTTTCAATAAAACCCTAAAAGTTAAATCTCTCCAGAAACTATAACTAGCTTTGTTTTGTTACTGAAATTCAATTTGAAGTAAGCTTGAAACTATTTTAATTTTTCCCCCGTCATTATTTGTCTGATATATTTTATTTGCAGAAACAAGGTTCTATCCCAGTTCACGTATCTGAGGATAATATTGCTATACTCAGCCTGAGCGTTTTCAATATTAAAATCAGCAAATACAATGCATCTGATGTGAGCATCTGAATCGTTTAAATATAAACATTTATTTAAATAATCATAAGGTTCCAAAGTCAACCTTGCATAGAATTCTTATAACCGAACCTAAACCAGATAATTATGAGATGCTATTGCTAATGTAATAAATTTAAAAAATCAAGAGTTAACAAAAAAAATATTGTAATTATTAAAATAAAAATTAGTTTTGATAAATGGCTTCATTCATTCAAGGAAATGTATATTATCTTTTATTGATTGTGAATGATAAACTCCCTAGGACCTCTTGTTGAGAATCCCTATGCATGAGATAGCAGCTACGTGCTATATAAAAGATGATAAAGAGCACATACTTGCCATCAAGTTCGGTAAGCAATACCTTATATCATAGGTATTTTTTAATATGTTTTGTTTTGTCATGTAAATAAATGGCTTCAGTAATTTGTGCTGATTATTTCATCTTACATCTTTTGACATATAAAAATATCACAATTTGGTTTATTTTAATGATTAATTCAAAAGTTTAAAACCATAAATTTTGTGTTCATTGTTTTAAAGGCACCCCTGAGTCCTGCAGGCTGGCAGTTTTATACTGTGAAAGTAAGGTAAGGGCATATGCACTGGTACACTGGGAATTCATCTGTTATATTTATACATGTATATTAGGGTGGTCCAATTTTTTTTAAGTTTCAGAATAGTTTGGTCTCCCCCCTTTGTTTTTTCATCTACACAAGAAAATAATTCCTGTCAATTTTCAGTCAAATTGAATCATATTAAGGGTCACTCAAGTAAGTTAAATGTAAGTCATTGTCTATATGCTGTAATGGGAAAAACAATTGAAAATGGCCATAAATGAAAAATGGTACATTTTATGGGCACAACATGTGAAGAAAGAGTGTTAAAATATCTTCTTTTTCCTCTATATGTTAAGGGCCCACGATCAATTTATTGATCATTTTGGCTCCTATGCATATAGAGGGGATTCGTAATGTTTCTGTGCCTGGTGTTGATGAGGATATTTCACTGTCTGCAAGGGCCACTCAGTGAGGGTATCATGAACTGGGAGTTGGAAGGCGCGAGGCAATAGACGCAAATGTTTCAAGTGTTGTCACCTCAGCTGTTCCTTTTGGAAGCCTGTTCCAGTCCCTGATTGTCTTTGGCAGGAATGAGCAGTTCCTGTACTGGCTTCTTGCTGGTATGAGCTGGAACTGCGTGTCATGGTTTCGTCGCTGTCTATGGGGAGGAAGGACGAGTTTCTGTTCAATGTTGGAGCAGTGGACCAGTCCATTATTTATCTTGTACATCATGGATTGCCTGGATGGTCATCTTCGTTCATCCAATGGTGACCAGCCCATTGTTTCCAGCATGCTGCCAACACTTGAGGTGTTTCTGTAGCGGTTCAGGACAAAACGTGTTGCCCGTCGCTGGACCGCGTCCAACCTGTTGATCCTCTTCTGAGTGAATGGGTCCCAGACTGAAGATGTGTAATCTAAAAGCGGCCCCAACAAAGGCTTTATTAGCTCTTTCTTTCACTGTGGAATTGCTGAGCTTTAGATTTTGTATTAAGAACCCAAGTGTTTTGATTGCCTGGTTACACACATTGTTTATATGCTCGTCCTAGGGAACCACGTCAGTTTGCTTGGTGTTCTCCAGATTGGTTGTCAAGTCTTCTACAAATTCAAGGAGCTGGGTCTCAATTGATCTTTTGAATCGGAAGCCTTGCTGACAGTCATTGAGTATATTTTGGCTTTTAAGATGTTTTATGACTGCGCTTATGATTATGTGCTCCAACAGTTTGCATATCACGCTGGTGAGGGATATTGGGCGATAGTTGGCAGGGTCGGAATGCTCCACTTCCTTGTTGATTGGAGTGGCATGCGCTGTTCTCCAGTCTGTTGGAACATTCCCTCTGCACAGCGACGATTGGAAGAGGATTGTCATTGCCGGAGCGATTTCATTGGCCAATTCTTTGAGCACTCATGGTTTTATGTTATCAGGACCACATGTCTCGTAGGGGTTAATTGTTTTGAGGAGGGCCAGCACACCTTGCTCTGAAAGGTGGATATTGTCCATGACGGGGTAGGCTGTGTTCATCATTTTGGTCTTCAGAAGGAACTCGGCCTCCGAGTACTCTCTGCTGTGTCACCAAAGACCGACTGGAACTACTGATTTAGTATGTCCACCTGTGCTTTTGGGTCAGATGTCAAATGGCCATCGCACTTTAGGGGGGAAACTCCAACGTTTGAGGACTTTTGGTGCATGACATAAATCCAAAATTGCTTGTTCTTGACAGCCTTGGCCAGAGTGTCTTCCTCTAAGAAAATGCTGTTCAGGTAGTTCCAGTAAGATTTGCGCAGTAAGTGTTGTATAGTTCGGTGGAGCCAAGTACCTCGTCTCTCAGTTCAACCCAGCCATTTTTCTTCAATCGCTTGTATTGGCGGTCTCTCCTGTGGATTAGCCTACGGATTTCAGCCGTGACCCATGGCTGATTTATCTTAGGTTTGGTGGTCTTGTGTGGTATGAATTTATTCACTGCTTCATTAATTGTTCAGCCACAGCTCTTCTGTTGTCGCTGTACCCTGAATCTCCTGCATGTTTGAGCTCAGCTCTGTCGTTGCACTCCTCAGGCCATGCCTTGGCATAAATTGGGATTTCTTGTATGACCTGTTTCTTTTTTAGTGTGTTGATCTGAAATTCAAAATATGGTATGCAGTGGTCTGATATTCCGGGGATGACCTCAACTTTTGGGACACGATGTGTACAATTGGTGAGGAGTAGGTCAAGAGTGTTTCCCCCCTCGTGGGTTCTTTGAACAGCTGTTCCAGACCATGGTTGTTAATCATCTCCATGAAGTCACAGTGTAGGACAGTTTATGGAGACTTGAGCTTCAAGGCAGGAATCTGCCAGTTCCAACCAGGAAAATTAAAATCTCTCCCCCCCATGTAAGAAGAAAGCGATACGTCCAGCCTCCTCAGGCTTGGTTCATCAGCTGTGTTGGGTCTGTAATAGGCACAAACATAAAGTGTGCGTCTACCCTTCAGCTTCACTTTCACCCACAGGAGCTCACAGTCATCAAAATCTAATTCTGGAACAGCATGACAGTCCAGTTTGTGATGGACAGCAACAAGTACTCCTTCTCCTCTGTCTTTTCTGTCTCGCCGGAATTTTAATTAACTTATATTTATATAATTGATATTTAAATGTTAAATTAATATTCCCTTATATCATTGACTGTTGAATGTTATAATGTCCCCTTATATCACTGACTGTTGAATGTTAAAATATTCCCTTATATCACTGACTGTTGAATGTATTTTTCATTGTAGCCCGTGGCAGAAGAGATCTGCGCTCTAGTTGGTCAATGTTTTAATCTGGTCTACACAGAGGCACTATTCCGGCTCTTAGACAATCCCCTCAACCCTTCTGATCCCATTCATCATGCAGCAAGTACAATCAGTGGTAACGTGGCATGGCTTTTTTTATTCCCTTTTCTTCCCAATATATTCACTGTAAATTATTGCAATATAAAATTAAGTGGTTAGTTGGTGAACATAAAATATGGAAAGGATTAATGTTCTGTGGGTTGGGATTCAACTAATTATTTTTTTACATTGGTAAAAAAAATGACAATTTCTCTCAAATTGTGTACTGGTAACAAACTAAACGTATTGCCTTCTATATTTCCTTGTGAATTTACTTACAAATTTTGTTGTAGGTTCAACTCTGATCCAAGATCCACCAGATGCCTTGTAAGTTTTCTAATAATAAACTGTTGGATTTATTTTATTTGCAACTGATAAATACATTCACATGATATCATTGGTCTACGAAAGAAGCAGCCATCTGCTGTGTTTAAACATAAAAATTAAGTTATATCACTACAAAGCATTGTGAAGTTTAAATTTGATTTTGATATGTTGAAATAGTCAGACTGCTGTTTTCAGCTTATGATTTGAAAGTAGCCCTGAATAATTGGTCCGAACAATGATAATGCTTAACTAAATGAAAGAGCTAATGAACACACAAATGTTAATTGAAATAATTTTAATCCACGTTACAGTCACTCACCATCATATCACCATAGGACACCAAGTGAATCAGGAAATTCCAAAACTAGTGACAGTGGAACAGGAAAAGAACTTTTGGAAGACTATATGAACAAAGTAAGCCATAAATTATGTATAGTAAGGGAATGTTTGAACCAAGTGAGCCATGAATGATGTGTAGTAAGGGACTGTGTACAAAGTGAGCTGTGAATGATGAATGTTAAGGGACTATTGAAAAAGTAAACTGTGAATGATGTATAGTGAGGTACTATCATAACAAAGTAAGCTATGAATGATGTATAGTGAGGTACTATCATAACAAAGTAAGCTATAAATGATGTTCATGAAGTAGAATTTAGGTGTTTCATTGAAAAAGTGAATAATTGAATCTGTTTTGAAGTAAATTTAGACACTTTTTTTTTATTATTGAATCTTTAACAATTTGATGTCCGAAAATGCCCCTTATTTTTCTTGAAGTATTTGATGGCCCTAAAGCAGACCTGTTTACCCTCAAACTCTTAATATCGTACAATATCATCACAAAATCAATCAATACATTATCTTAATAGTAAAATAAACATCAGTATATATAATGTATACACCTCAAAATCATACATTGTACGCCAAAATCGTACGAGAAAACCGGTCTGCTAAAGTGCCCTATATTTTTCTACACTTGATATTTCCTCACTTTCTGTTGTTAACTCGTTTACCATCGCAGCAGTTTTAGTTTGATATAGCGATTTCTTTGTTGTTATTTAGAAGGGATAAACTTGCTTGAGTAGAAGTTTTTGACTTTAAAGAGTTGTTAAGTGATTTTGTTTCTTTTGCTGATTGCAGCTGAAGGCTAAACTAAATGCTGATGAGCTAAGGAAGTTCTTACAACATCTGAATGACTGGAAGAAAGAGAACCACTTCCACCAGTTCTGTGATGAAGTTTTGCTCTTGTTAGGACCAGATAGGAAGCAACTGCTATCTGGTAATTTATCAATAAGTGTCCCTCTCTGTTAATAAAATATATTATACAGTATGGCATCGCTAATCCGGGCATTGAAAAACCAGAGCGCCGATTTTCTAATCAGAAAATAAAATAACTGCTGAGTGAGAAATTCAACGTTATTTATATTCATTCCCTCCTGCAATGCTACTTCCGTACTTAATTTATTTGCCTGAGGAAGGGAAGTAACTCTGATTTGCAATTGATTTACATTTGTAAAATATTTATTTAAGCTGCTAAATATTATTTAATGTTAATGAATTAAGAACAAATGCAACAAAAAATGAATAAGGTTTGATAAAACACAACATTAGCGGGGAAAAAATAACAAAAAGGGCAAAAAAATCGATTTTCGGCACCTAGGATGAACACAAGCTACATTTAGATGCCGCGTATTAAAGCACACGTAGTTTTAAAGTGAAACTAGATAAAAACTTCCAGTTTTTAAATTAAAATCACGCTGAACCACGCCATTGCCAGAAGTCTCGAGGGATGCGAGATTTCATTGCTCATTTGGACACATCCGGCGAAACCCCCAAAGGACGCATTTATTCGCAAACGTCGGGAATGAGTTAAAGTGAACAGATTTGAACCTCCAATCATGAATAAAAACATTATAAAAAACATTTTCTTGGGCGCCACCATGAAAGTAATCTTTCATAAGTAATGTGCTAAGCCATGATCTCAATATTTTACAAAATATACATCCATACAAGTTCTGATGGTAGGCTTTTCAATATCGCCTGCCTTCGTGTAAAGACCAATGTTAAAAAGGTACTAGTTCATGAACTGCCGTTCCCTGATGATGCCGCCTTAACATCGCACACAGAAGATGGTCTTCAGCGGCTAGTTAATTGTCCATCACACACATGTAAAGAGTTTGGACTTTCAATTAGTCTACAAAAAACAATGTCTTGATGCAAGAAGCACCGTCCTCTCCAATCATATCTGTTGAGGGCATAATCTGTCGGTTGTTGAGCATTTCACATACCTTGGATCCAATATCTGTAGTTCACTCTCCGTTGACAAAGAGGTGAACGTCAGGATCTCAAAAGCAGCAGCAACCATGGCTAAACTTAATAAACAAGTGTGGAATAATCTTAATCAAACTGATAATACAAAGCTAAGCATCTATCAGGCTTGTGTGCTTAGTACGCTCCTATTTGGCAGTGAAATCTGGCCACATATGCCAGTCATGAGCGGAAATTCAACAGCTTGATTCAAAGATGTCTGCATTGCATTTTACGCATTTGATTGCAGGACAAGGTGCCTGACACAGAGGTCTGGAAACGTGCAAAAATGTTAAGCATATTTTTAGCTCTTAGCAAGAGGTGCCTTCACTGGCTAGGCCATGTAAGGAGAATGGAGGAAGGCCGTATTCCAAAGAAGCTGTGGTATGGAACTTTGGTAGAAGGGGCAAAACTTATTAGATGGCCGTGGCTGCAATTTATGGACCTTTGCATAAGGAACATGAAGGAAGCCAACATAGAAGTCAACGAATGGGAGATCATTGCTGATCAATGTTGCAGCTGGCGAACAGCAGTGTATGAAGGAGTCAATAAGGCAGAACATGCGCGAAACAAAGCTCTTGCAAAAAAACAAGAACAATAAGGAAAGCCAAATCTAACCAGGAGTCAAGATTCTCCTGTGATAAATTCAGCCAAGATTGCCATTCCAGGATCGGACTAATGAGCCATTTGTTGAGGTTTACTTAGCTACTACATCATCTTATAAAGACGGGAGCATGCCATATATATCTGTCAGAGTGTTGATCTAGGGTATTATCTCAATATTTTACAAAATATATCTGTCAGAGTGTTGATCTAGGGTATTATCTCAGTATTTTACAAAATATATCTGTCAGAGTATTGATTTGGGGTATTATCTCAATATTTTACAAAATATATCTGTCAGAGTGTTGATCTAGGGTATTATCTCAATATTTTACAAAATATATCTGCCAGAGTGTTGATCTAGGGTATTATCTCAATATTTTACAAAATATATCTGTCAGAGTGTTGATCTAGGGTATTATCTCAATATTTTACAAAATATATCTGTCAGAGTGTTGATCTAGGGTATTATCTCAATATTTTACAAAATATATCTGTCAGAGTGTTGATTTGGGGTATTATCTCAATATTTTACAAAATATATATGTCAGAGTGTTGATCTGAGTGTTGATCTAGGGTATTATCTCAATATTTTACAAAATATATCTGTCAGAGTGTTGATCTGAGTGTTGATCTAGGGTATTATCTCAATATTTTACAAAATATATCTGTCAGAGTGTTGATCTGAGTGTTGATCTAGGGTATTATCTCAGTATTTTACAAAATATATCTGTCAGAGTATTGATTTGGGGTATTATCTCAATATTTTACAAAATATATCTGTCTGAGTGTTGATCTGAGTGTTGATCTAGGGTATTATCTCAATATTCTACAAAATATATCTGTCAGAGTGTTGATCTAGGGTTAGGTGTGTGAGATAAAAAAACAACAACAAAGAAATAACTTTTCTATAAATAATGACATGTACAATACTTAACAGTTTGAGTTACACTGCCAAGGCATATTTAGTAGGTTTTTTACTAGAGCAGTTTATTTTTGTGTGTGTGTCTTTCTTGTTTTCCAATTAGATAGTTATTGTCGGCTACAGAGCCTCATCCTATAATCATATTTAATTTACTTAACTGAAGATGGGGTTACAAAAGTTGATGTATATTTGATAAGAATTATTGATGTCTAACTGTACAAGAATTTTTCAAGATAAATTTTGAATTACATATAAACAAGCAAGGTAATGTAAAAGAAACGTTACCAACCAGCAACAAGTGAATGATCACTAATGATCAAATATGAAACTTGCACAATCTTATACATAACTTATCTTAAATAGTTTTTTTGTCAGTTATTATTTTATTTGTGGATATTTGTCACATTATGTAATGTGTCTATTTTATGTAACGTGCTGCAAATGATCAGTAGTTTACTTCTTGTCTTGTGCAGAGCTGATCCCATTCATTCCTGAACACAACTACCAATACTTTGAAGAGTTCCTCAAAAGAAATGACATCAGGATGTTGGACAACACAAGCACACTTTCAAGTTCTAGAAATAACTTGAGATTTTCCACGTGAGCAGAATTTTTTTTTTCAAATTATGCTTTGAGAGGGAGTGTGTGGGGTCGGTCAGGGGATGTGAGGCGTCAGGGGGTCGTTGTTTTTGTTGTTGTGTGTGTTATCTCATTCAAATTATATATTATTATATGAAGTGTTTATTATTAATGAGTAATTGTTCAAAATTTTTAAGTTGCTCATTAAAAAAGTGAGTTATTTCCCTTTAAATTATGATTAAGGATATTTTCCTAATTAGACTTCTTTTGACCTGGTTTATACGTGGCATTCAAAAGAATGCTTGTTATATGGTTAATAAAATAGAGCTTTTCAATTTCTTAAAAAAATAATTAATCAATATTTCTTTAAAGTAATATTGACATTTTTGATAGGTCTAACGTACGGACTATGTGTAATGGCCAATAAATTCATCTTCTTCCATAATGTATCAACCAATTAGTCAATCATCCGCTAAAATTAATTGACTAATCAATCAGCCATCAGCTAAAATGAATTGATGATCAATCGGTCCATCATCTGCCATAATGTATCACCAATCAATCCACATCGTTGCTGTGTTCCAGGAGAAGGTCGTTCAGTGAGGTGTCCACAACCAGCAGCGTCAGCAACAACACGGCCAGCGGCGATGCCCTGGACCATCTCATAGACTTTGCCAAAGCCCAGTTTGACAGTGTAGATGTTGACATGGACCCAAAGACCTACGAGCCGAGCAAAGATTACTGAGACGGTCGACATGGGGAGCGCTTGGAGTGGGATTTAGCTTAATGTAGTTTTAGACCTTTTTATTACTGTAGTTTTTCAATATATACCAGGTTGTCTCTATTTAACCACAGTTGTCCATGTGTTAGAGTAGATTGTATTTTATGTTCATTTGAGAACTATATGAGGAATTACTTAATTAAAAAATTCATTGTGCCTTCGAAAAGCATTTTTTTTTCTCATGAAATTCTTATCTGATCTAAATATTATTTATGAAAATGTCCTTGGTGAAAAGAACTCTTAGGCTTAGATTCCAGTTTTTCTATGATACTATGATGATATGATAAGTCTCTCCATTTGATTTGTTGTTTTCGTTGTTATAGTCTTGCATTAAACAGGAATAATAACAATTTCAAATGTGAAGATAACTTTGAGATCTAGACAATAACATTAACACATTCAGAAGATAACATTGACTGATTCAGAAGATAACATTGACTGATTCAGAAGATAACATCGACACATTCAGAAGATAGCATCGACACATTCAGAAGATAGCATCGACACATTCAGAAGATAGCATCAACACATTCAGAAGATGACATTGACATTCAGAAGATAACATTGGCATTCAGAAGATAACATTGGCATTCAGAAGACAACATTGGCATTCAGAAGATAACATTGGCATTCAGAAGATAACATTGGCATTCAGAAGATAACATTGGCATTCAGAAGATAACATTGACATTCAGAAGATAGCATCAACACATTCAGAAGATGACATTAACATTCAGAAGATAACATTGACATTCAGAAGATAACATTGGCATTCAGAAGATAACATTGGCATTCAGAAGATAACATTGGCATTCAGAAGATAACATTGGCATTCAGAAGATAACATTGGCATTCAGAAGATAACACTGGCATTCAGAAGATAACATTGGCATTCAGAAGATAACATTGACATTCAGAAGATAGCATCAACACATTCAGAAGATGACATTGACATTCAGAAGATAACATTGGCATTCAGAAGATAACATTGGCATTCAGAAGATAACATTGGCATTCAGAAGATAACATTGGCATTCAGAAGATAACATTAACATTCAGAAGATAACATTAACATTCAGAAGATAACATTAACATTCAGAAGATAACATTAACATTCAGAAGATAACATTAACATTCAGAAGATAACATTAACATTCAGAAGATAACATTCATTATAAAAAGACAGAACTGATTAATTTTGATTAAAAATATGTGTTGTTTTAAAATTAGTTTGAAAGCAGTTCATTGAAAACTAAAAAGTCTGAGTCAGGCTGTTGGTTACTGTGTTGAGCACACAGCTTTCATGTAAATAGATTGGTGGGAAATTAAGGGGCTTGCTTGTATTCTTTCTATGAATGCATCTGTTGAACTGACATTTTTTGTATTGATAATAATATGATCTGTTTAAAGCATTCCACAAGGACAGTGCTTCTCAAACCTTTTTTTCTCTTTCTATTAAACGCTTTGGAAATAAATAATAAGTAGTATAGTTATCAAATCAAAGCTTGCCGGCCTTGAACTTTGAAGACATAAATTGTTGCCCGAGGGGTATCAGATGTGGATGGCAGAAGATGAAATTACTATTTTCATTAGTACAGTACACAGAGACTGTACACAGCGGTGTGATGAGACACGTTCTTTTTAAAAATCTAACAAATTAGATGGTGCACAATAAAGTGTCTATGTTTATCTTGTAATTTTACTGTACATTATGCTGTGGGCTTAAAAAGGTTTGAGGAGCACTGTTATAAATTAGAACCTGCTCATTTGGTCTACGCTATTGTGTAGACTGAAAAAATTTTGATGTTGAATTTATGTTAAAATGTTTCAACAAGTTTTCATCATCATCTTGATGTTTACTGTAAAATCATCAACTTGATATTTGATAGTTGCTGTAAATGTTGTACCAGAATCAAAATTTCCAACTTTTTAAAAACTTTGAAACTTAGATCAAAGTATTCCTAGATTGATTATATAATCCTAGGTTGGTTATATAATCCTAGGTTGGTTATACAATCCTAGGCTGCTCATATCTCAAGTAAAAGTTCCATTAGGCTCACTGCTTGAAAAATTGAAAGTCTGATTTACCGAAGCTACATTTTACAGAACATCTTTTTATAGAGAGTTGTTAGCATCAAGACTTGAAATGAATGAATTCTCTATAACCTGTAACTAATGGCAGAAAATTGCCATGTTGAGTTGTTAGCAACAAGACTTGAAATGAATGAATTCTCTATAACCTGTAACTAATGGCAGAAAATTGCCATGTTGAGTTGTTAGCAACAAGACTTGAAATGAATGAATTCTCTATAACCTGTAACTAATGGCAGAAAATGTCCATGTTGAGTTGTTAGCATCAAGACTTGAAATGAATTAATTCTCTATAACCACCTGTAACTAATGGCAGAAAACGACCATGTAGAGTTGTTAGCATCAAGACTTGAAATGAATGAATTCTCTATAACCTGTAACTAATGGCAGAAAACGGCTATGTTGAGTTGTTAGCATCAAGACTTGAAATGAATGAATTCTCTATAACCTGTAACAAATGGCAGAAAACGACCATGTTGAGTTGTTAGCATCAAGACTTGAAATGAATGAATTCTCTATAACCTGTAACTAATGGCAGAAAATGGCCATGTTGAGTTGTTAGCATCAAGACTTGAAATGAATTAATTCTCTATAACCTGTAACTAATGGCAGAAAATGGCCATGTTGAGTTGTTAGCATTAAGACTTGAAATGAATTAATTCTCTATAACCTGTAACTAATGGCAGAAAATGGCCATGTTGAGTTGTTAGCATCAAGACTTGAAATGAATTCATTCTCTATAACCTGTAACTAATGGCAGAAAATGGCCATGTTGAGTTGTTAGCATCAAGACTTGAAATGAATTAATTCTCTATAACCTGTAACTAATGGCAGAAAATGGCCATGTTGAGTTGTTAGCATCAAGACTTGAAATGAATTAATTCTCTATAACCTGTAACTAATGGCAGAAAATGGCCATGTTATTCATCACTGATAAGCCGGTGTGTAGTTTGACAGTTTAAAAATTCCACTTTGGGAATGATTCAACTGTAGATCTTGCTAAATAATCTACTTCAGCAATGACCAAAAGTCAAACAATAGATAATATGTTAATTTAGTTGTAATGGGAAAGAGAAAGAGAGATTGTTAGAGACTAGAAGATGTGGAAATATATTGTAAATGGCCTATGCTCCAATGACTTGAAAAGGTGAAGAAGGAGAAGTTTCTATTGTAACTGGTACACCATTGGTTACAACATCGAAACTGTGTCACCATGGTACAAAATTGAAACTGGGTCACCATGGATTACAATATTGTAACTGGCTCACCATGGATCACAAAACAGAAGTCATAAAACGCCTTTAGTTAAGAAATTGCCTAGGTGTACACTCATATATCTGACCTATGCCTTGTGTTGTGATTTATTTATGGACATGTCCCACAATGCAAAGAAATCAAACCATATCATTGCATGGGATGCCAGTCAAGTCTTTGTCTTATTTTGTATTGAATGTTTCTGTATACAAATATCTAACAGTTTTTGTTTTCTTGGTCTTTTTAATGCAATCATTTTGTCATTATCCAGATGTAAACTGTGTCTTTATGATATGCTGAGTCGTGAAACCACATGTCCATTCATTTCTAGGCCAGGGGTCACCCAATGTCCATTCATTTCTAGGCCAGGGGTCACCCAATGTCCATTAATTTCTAGGCCAGGGGTCACCCAATGTCCATTAATTTCTAGGCCAGGGGTCACCCAATGTCCATTCATTTCTAGGCCAGGGGTCACCCAATGTCCATTCATTTCTAGGCCAGGGGTCACCCAATGTCCATTAATTTCTAGACCAGGTGTCACCAGGTGTCAATTAATTTCTGGACCAAATTCTGGCCTGCTGAAATGTTCAATGCAGCCTGCGCAACTATCCAGCAACTGGATTAATATCGTCTTAAAATTTACATATTGCCGAATTATTTTCCGTAAAAGCCTTGATATTGTTACAATGTGCACTTGTATAACTAAAAATGATAATGACAACTATTTTTTTTTTAAAACTCCACTGCTTATTTTCAATAAAAATCTAAGTGCATTTTTGAAGACAATATTTAATTATTTCTATTCTATGAAAATAGATCCTCAATTTTCTCAAATATCTAGCAACTGTGTTCAGTGGTGTCATGCAACCGTGTCCAGTGATGTCATGCAACCGTGTCCAGTGATGTCATGCAACTGTGTCCAGTGATGTCATGCAACCTTGTCCAGTGATTTCATAAGCATTGGAATGTCAAGGCTAAAATTATTAGTACAGTATTTTTAAGCTCCACACCTCAGTACACAAATATGATATCACTTTTGTGTTTGAAAGTTTGGAGGCCCCTTTGGCTCGACCTGTTAGCTGCAAATTTGTAGAGTGTCACAAGTTTAAAAAAAATTAAACATTTAAATAATAATGGTTATTAAAGATAATAAGAACAATGTTGGCAATATAAATGAATGTGCAGATTAGAAAAGAGAATAATTAAAGATGAGCGTCGGACCTTCAACAAGACTGGACAACAACTTATGTTTTCATTGCTAGTTAAAACCAATGTTGTGTAAGTAATATGTCATTGGTGTGTCTCCGTTTTCAAAGAACATAATCTCTGAGAGATTTTCAGACTAACCAAGGACATTTATGGAATTAATTTGAAGAAAACCCAATTGAAGCACAGAGCTGATGACTTGGAGAAAGCCCAATTGAAGCACAGAGCTGATGACTTGGAGAAAACCCAATTGAAGCACAGAGCTGATGACTTGGAGAAACATTAAAAAACAGGAACAAATCACTTTGGCAGATTCGTCCTCTTTTCAAGTAGCCTCAAGAAAATAAGAAACAAAAATAAAAATCTTTTATTTTGCATCACTTTGATCTAACCAACAGGACATTTTCATATGATAAAGCTTCTTAAAGTGCAGCTGAAATTAATAGACTCTCAGAATGAAGGCGTTCTCCATTTGGAATTAAAGGACACGGGATTAACAAAATTGTGTCCATCAGGCCCAAGTATTTTGATTCCGGACTATGGAAAATTATCTAAAAACTGAAGCTCCAAGATGGCATTAAATATTTTAATAATATATAGCCTAACAATAACATTCTATCGCTATAACATTCTATCGCTATATGCGCCATGATTTAACCGGTAGGTAAATGTTATCTTGTAGTTATCATATCATTATAATCATTTTACATTGATTAAATTGGTATAGTTTATAGCTTTTGATTTAAAGAACATTATCATGGGGCCAGCGAAAAAAAAAATTATTTCAATGTGGCCCTCTGCACAAAAAGTTTTCTCAGGTCTAACCAATGTGCCGTAGTTCTCTTCATCTAACCAATGTGCCGTAGTTCACTCCATCTAACCAATGTGCCGTGGTTCACTCCATCTAGCCAATGTGCCGTAGTTCACTCCATCTAACCAATGTGCCGTGGTTCACTCCATCTACCCAATGTGCTGTGGTTTACTCCATCTAACCAATGTGCCGTGGTTCACTCCATCTAACCAATGTGCTGTGGCTAACCCCATGTAACCAATGTGCTGTGGCTCACCCTATCTAACCAATGTGCTGTGGCTCACCCCATCTAACCAATGTGCAGTGGTTCACTCCATCTAGTCCAAATTCTATGACAGTTAAATAACAGTTCTTAAAAACACCAAAATCTATGAGACTTATAAAGCATTTCATATAAAGACCAAAACCTCTGACCTATATTCAGAAGTCCATCACTTCAGTTGATGAACTGTCAGCTTTGGCTTTGTTTATAATCTTAGAACCAAGTTTCATCTTACCAGCCATATTGTACTGTTGGCTTTAAACTTGTATCGTATCTTATTGTTAGAGTATTTTAAAAAGATGAAACACATTTGAAGATAAACATTTTTTTTTTAATATCAAGATATTCTTGGTCAGCCATTTTTCTGCCCTAAAATTTTCTATTTCTATGTAAATGTCATTATGCAATATGCACATATTTTTTTCTATAGTTTTCAATGTTAACATGAAATTGTTCAAACCACATTTATTTTACTTTTAATGAACACTCCCTTGTGTCATCATATAAAAATTGCTGTGTTTGCCATAATAAGAGCAATAATTGATTTTATCTTTGGATACATAACAACTGATGTTAACACCTGTTGTGTACATACTGCTGTAAAACTCCTGTTGTAAAACAACTGATGTGTACCTACTGCTGTAAAACTCCTGTTGTAGAACAACTGATGTGTACCTACTGCTGATACCTTTTCAGTGTTGTGCATGTTATCGGGATGTTTTATCATGGCATCCTTATGTCACATGTTATTCCTGTCATATCCTGATGTCATACGTTTTTCCTGTCATATGCTGATGATGTCATATGTTGTTCCTGTCATTTGCTAATGATGTCATGCCATCCATCTGGGGATTCATTTCAGCGATCAGTTTGACTGTGGGTTGTACATTGGACTGCCTATATGCACAATAATCAATAACAAATGTCAATAAAAAGATTATACCTCCTATCAAAGTCCCCCCGTGTCATGTCTTTCTGATAGAAAAGAATTACATGGCCACCAGCCAGGACTGGCTAGCAATTACATGACAACCAACCATGACTGGCTAGCTATGACATGACAACCAACCAGGATTGGCTAGCTATGACATGACAACCAACCAGGACTGGCTAGCTATGACATGACCACCAACCAGGACTGACACGCAATGACATGACAACCAACCAGGACTGGCTAGCTATGACATGACCACCAACCAGGACTGACACGCAATGACATGACAACCAACCAGGACTGGCTAGCTATGACATGACCACCAACCAGGACTGACACGCAATGACATGACAACCAACCAGGACTGGCTAGCTATGACATGACCACCAACCAGGACTGACACGCAATGACATGACAACCAACCAGGACTGGCTAGCTATGACATGACCACCAACCAGGACTGACACGCAATGACATGACAACCAACCAGGACTGGCTAGCTATGACATGACCACCAACCAGGACTGACACGCAATGACATGACAACCAACCAGGACTGGCTAGCTATGACATGACCACCAACCAGGACTGACACGCAATGACATGACAACCAACCAGGACTGACACGCAATGACATGACAACCAACCAGGACTGGCGATTTCTCTAGTTGGTTTTAAACTTCTCTTTCATTTCATGATTTTTATTATATTTTACAACAATTAAAAACTGATGACTAAAATAATCAGCCAATCCTTCATTTGAAAGATATCCAGAAGTATTTGTAGCGGTATCTTCCAAGCTGTTGAGCGCACCTGACGTCATATGACCCAGAGATTACTTTTTTTGACTTTACGTGACTCAGATGATGATGATAATTGAGTACTTTAATAGCGCTCGTGTCCATGCTATTTTAGCATGCTCACAGCGCTCCGATGTCCTAAAATCTATTTAAAGAAAAAAGTCTTGAAATAAATTTTTCTTCAATGACTTTTAATCGTTTTCAATGTCCCTCAAAGATTGAGGCAAACTGTTCCACAATTTAGGCGCAATAGCCTCAAAAGAGCGCATCCCGTATGACTTCTTTATGTGTCCATCCACACTGGGAACTCTCAGTAAGGACTGTGTTGAAGAGCGCATCCCGTATGACTTCTTTATGTGTCCATCCACACTGGGAACTCTCCGTAAGGACTGTGTTGAAGAGCGTATGTTCTTGAAGGATACATGTTTGAAATCAGTTTTTAAAGATATACAGGTACAGAGCCTTCGATACAGCTATACGCCAGGGACAGAATTTTGTAGTCAATGCGCTCACTTACAGGAAGCCAATGGAGATCTCTAAGAGCTGGGTTGATGTGGTCGGATTTCTTTATACGCGATACAATGCGTGCTGCAGTATTTTGTACCTTCTGGAGTCTCTGATATTGGTTTTGAGGTAAACCCCACAAACACAAAGATTATTTTCTTGACGTCACATGACCCAGAGATTACTTTGTTGACGTCACATGACCCAGAGATTACTTTGTTGACGTCACATGACCCAGAGATTACTTTGTTGACGTCACATGACCCAGAGATTACTTTGTTGAAACACTAATTAAGAGTACGGATTTTTTTTTTTACTTTCCAGAAAGTGTACAATTACAGAGGAGTAGAAAAGTGCACAACTCCTAGGGAATATAAGCATGACCCGAAGTTGTCTTCATATAATCATTATAATATTGTGTTTTCTCTTACATCAAAATGGCCTTAAAATCTGAGCTCTACTATCAGACCAGTTGTCCTTAAACTCCGAAATTACCCTGGTTTGTCTTTCTCGTATTGTCATGAGAGATTGATTCCACAGGCAGTCAATGAATTGTCCGTCCTGGCAGCCACTAGACACAACAAACAGCCAACCAGCCTTTGTTAAACACGGAGAAACCTTACGTGCGACTCGCTTACTTTCTCGCCGTTCAAAGGGAGAGAACGCTGGAAGAAATGGGGGGCTACTTTCAGTTAGCAAAAATATGTAATGTGTCTTCTCTATTGACAAGCACCGGAATATTACATGGGCGCGAGGCCCCTGTTCAGTTTTCCGTGGGCTGGAAGTGGTTGATCTGAGGGCCCACAAGGACCGTTAAAGTGGCACTTAAGTCTGAGCGCTTAGTAAAGACTGTTTTCAAGCCGGGTGATAGAAATAATAAGACCTTGAATAACGACACAAGACAATGAAAAGGACGTTTCGGCTGAGTGGAAGCCTCCAATAAAAACAAAGGTAAAAAAGAGAATAAAATCAGAACGTGGCTTAGAGTTAGAGGCTAGACAGGAAGTTATTCAAATCCAACATGACAGCGTTACCAAGGAAACGTGTGATACAGTCTAAGCGTTTTGGAGAGTAATTTAGAATGTACACCAAATTTAAAATGAAATAAAATTGGATGGACATTTATTGTGTTGGCTGATGAAGGCTTTGAGCCGAAACGTCATTTTGATTGTACCTCGGCGTCATTTAGCTTCTGACATACCACGCTCTTACCATTTCATTCTCTTACCTAAAAATCAGGGATTCTCAACCTTCTTAATGCCGCGACCCTTTAATACAGTTCCTCGTGTTGTGGTGACCCCCAACCATACAATTATTGTCGTTGCTACTTCATAAAATATGTGTTGTCCGATGTTCTTAGGCAACCCCTGTGTAAGGGCCGTTCGACCTCCAAAGGGGTCGCGACCCAAATGTTGAGAACCGCTGCTATAAATGTTCCATGCCAAAATACGTCTATTTCGTAAATGTGGCTCTTCCTAGAAGGGGTCTTAGTGTTGTTGATGTGTGCATGTGTCTGGTGTTGTTGATGTGTGCATGTGTCTAGTGTTGTTGATTTGTGCATGTGTCTAGTGTTGTTGATGTGTGCATGTGTCTAGTGTTGTTGATTTTTGCATGTGTCTGGTGTTGTTTATTTGTGCATGTGTCTGGTGTTGTTGATGTGTGCATGTGTCTAGTGTTGTTGATGTGTGCATGTGTCTGGTGTTGTTTATTTGTGCATGTGTCTGGTGTTGTTGATGTGTGCATGTGTCTGGTGTTGTTGAGTCAAAATTTACCCAAAAACCCTTTTTTTTAAAAAACTCAATTCCAAAGTATCCGTTAGGATTTACTTTCTACATACAACTGCATTGTTTTAAATGCATCATAATTCAACGAAATTATGTCCAAATATGTGTTCTCTGCACATTCCAAAGTTGACCTGTACAACTGGCAAAGCGTCGACCCCCAATGACCCGCTGCTGCAGGTCCAACCCACCCCTACCTGAAGGACTGGATGGTCCGTGTCGATTTTGACGGACGAACACCTGAAGTCCAGACACTATATTGCATTCACTTTCCTTTGGTTTAAATAGTAAATCTGGTGTAATTATGTATTGATAAAAACGGGGGAAAGCTCTGAGATGCTGGTCAAATCTTGATGTGCTTCTACAGGGCTGTACAGACAGACACATTACATTAAGTTGAAACTTCTGGGGAAAGAATGAACATTGAAACAACCGCTAAAAACAAAGGTGTTAGTATCAATCCTTTAGATGCCTTTCTTAAAATTATTTTTTATTTCTTATCAATATTCTGATGTCCCCCCCGCTTTCACACGCCAGATTTATTTCACTGACTATTTCAGTAAACAAAAGAAAATATTACTAAACCGAAACGCACTTGCGATACTTTTTAAGAATCTCATCTAGCGTAGTTATCGGGAATTTTCCTTAATGTTCCCCTAGAAAATCAGGAAAAACTTATTGGGGGGGGGGAGAGTGTTGTGGCTGAGGATTGGGGCTGACCATTCGGTAGAATATGATGTCATCGTTGACGAGTCTTAAATGTGTCAAGTTTCAGCTCGATAGGTTAACGGGAAGTGGTTCATTTAGGTTCCGAAGATTTTTCCGGCCATCCAGCCAGGCACGAACAAAAGCGGAATTAATATATAGGATTTTAAAATTATTTTCATCCCTCCCTCTCTTCGCCACAGTCCGAAGACTTTGTTTCACACATGAATGACGCAGCTGCAGACTTAAGAAGGGAGACATAGTTGACCTTCCTCTCTCATTGGTCGGTCGGCCTTGGCCACTTGAGTAGAAAAAATCACACGCTCCACTTTGCATTGCTCAACTGAGATATTTTGTTGGCGATCACAAAACTCAGTGGTGTGGCCACCAGCTCTGAAGGGCCCGATTGTTTTATGGTACTCCCTGGAATCGAAAAGCTTAAAATGGATAACTAAATTATTCATAGTTGTGGCGTAGAGCTTAATGGCGCTCTATGGTAGGCCTACTCATCACATTCTACCGCCCTAAAGAGCTTTGGAATATTTCAATGAACGGATCGAATGGACTCGTTTAAAATAGTGTACGTTTGTTTAGTTATGACATTTCATTTGAACAACCGTGTTTCCGTTTATCAATGTTGAATGCATTATCTACATTCACACTTGCATCAGACGAATTATGCATAACTTTCAGATGTAGGTTAAATGGTTATTGGAAATTTGATCGAAAGAAATTTCATCGACGGTTAATTTTATCGAACGGAAATTTGGTCGAATCTTTTTTTTCAGTCCACACGTTAAAATTTTCATCAAATTTCTTTTTGAACGCACTGTACTTTATAGTAAGAAAAAAAAATGCGATCAAAAAGAAATTTGAAGCAAAATTTTAACGTAAAAACTGAAAGAAAAAAAAAAAAATTCGACAAAATTTCCGTTCGATCAAATTACAGTTGATCCATTTACCTTCGACGAAATTTCTTTCGATCAAATTTCCGAATATGAGGTTGGATAAATAGATTAAATTGGATGTTGACTGCTTTGTTTTATCGTTGAAAAAGACTTCTAATCTAAGGGCTACGCCTCGCCCTAGGTGTGAAGGGGTACTCTCCTTCTAATCTAAGGGCTGCGCCTCGCTCTAGGTGTGAAGGATACTCTCCTTCTAATCTAAGGGCCACGTCTCGCTCTAGATGTGAAGGGAACTCTCCTTATAATCTAAGGGCTACGTC